TCAGATGAAGCTGAAACAGAGAATTTTACTTTTACTTGAATTTACTTGGGTCCCTGCTTTCATATACCATGTAGAGCTAAGTAGCTTAGGAAGAAGACAGAGATTACGAAGGAGAAGTGACAGCTACTGAGATATATTATTCTACCCTTACTTAAGCTGTATACATGTTGCTGTATTTATACTATTGGACAGGGTTATGATAGTAAATACATTAATATATCAGACGGCTGATATAAAGAGGTGCAGTTGTGATCCTAACTGGGTTTTATCGAGATGAGGACCTTCGATACCATTAGAGGTTTGTTACTGAGCACAGTTAATCAGGGTTGACACAACTTATCTTGTAACAGAGTGAAGCGAGAAGTTGATCAGGGTGGATTTTCGCTTGGAGCAAGTTAGACAGGGAGAGAACCCAATAAAAAAATTTCTTTCATTCATCTACTGGTTGGATGAGTAAAATTAATATAAAATAATGATTTAACTTCAATTCATTGGAAACTGCAATTCCTAGCTAATTTTCAATCAACCAAACAAAAAAGTAAAAGTTATGAGGCAAAGTAGCTTTCATTTCCTTTTAATTTATTCAAATCAAGCAAAGGATTTGTGAAATGATAGACATTTACAAAAGAAACATCATTTCCTTTTGGGGAATTTACATACATATCACACAAATCTTATATGCTTGCATATCTAGGTGCTTAACACTAAAATCTTTTATCACATCAAAAGTACCACTATTCCTAACAATTTAAAAGTGAAATAAACCTTTCCATGCATAGTTTTATAGCATCAAAGAGCTATAAATATAAATATCAAACTTTAGGTGTTATATATGTAAATATATAGAATTTTGTCGCATGAATGTAAAATTCCATTCTCTCTCTCTCTCTCTCTCCCTCTCTCTCCCTTGCAATCACCGCTACCACAAAAGTCACCCAAAATGAAACTCATGGCATACTTGCTACCCATGCAGTTAAGATTATTGCAGTACAATGCAACCAGCACTTGTGACAAATTATGTATTCTATAATAACAGAAAGTTAATATTCGGCTCCGTAAGGCAGTCAAAAAAGCGGAACAGCCATGGGCAGCGCAGCATCTCTTATTAATCATATACATATAACCTGAATAATTCAAAAAATTACTTATTTCCAGTTTAGCATACCCTTCAATTCATGAACAAATAGACCTAGTAAAAACAAGCAAGCAAGACTAACACAGTGCAGTGCGATAGATCCTAACATCAAAGCAAGTATTTATAGAGAAATGAGATACTCTTAAGAGTTTAATATTTCCAAACTAAATGGAACGCTAAGAATTAATATCTAGAGTCGACTAGAATGGCACTTCAGCCATTTCAAATTACAACGTTTAATTTTTCCAGAAATAAGAGTACAAGGTTGCAAAGACAGTAATAAATCATCAAAATCCAATGTTTAAAATAGAAATATCAGCACCTGCTAGTTATTAAAATTGCTGTCATACCTCATAATACTTAAAAATGGAGACATAAAAAATATCATACTTCGTGCAACAGAAGCAATAACACAAAGGATCTGATAAGAAACAAGTCTATGACTTCACACCATCTAAAATATTTGAGCTTTCTTCTTTACCCAGAACAAATACTACCTTTTTCAGAATGGCTTCCACTGGCAGGTGGGAATTCTCCACAGCTTTGGAAATTGCTTGCCATCTCTCCCCATGTTTCGGTTCTGCAGAAATGCATCTCTTCAACACATCCTTCTGAGATTCATCAACACCATGCTGGAGTTCAAATTTGTAGTATAATGACCAGAAATCACCAATATCTGGTGCTAGAGTGACCGCCCTATTAAACCAGCTTCTCGCCTTGTCCACCTTCCTGTCATACCAGAACAACTTAGCCACAGCTGCTATCACATGAGGATCATGGTCAGAACGTTTCAGAGCATCTGCACTTTTTGCTTTGCGCTGAGGCCTTGGAACCATTTCTATAGAAGCAGCCCAAAGAATCCCACTTGTAGGACATTCCTGCAGTGCTTTCGCCATCAATGAATCCGCTTCCTTTTTGTTTCCATGCTTCAACTCAGCACGAATGGCTGCAAGCCAGAGTTCAGGATTTTGAGGATTTCGCTTTCTTCCCATGGTAAGAACAGCACGAGCTTTGCTCAGGCCATTCACTCTCTCTTCTAAGTTAGCAATAGAAAGCCAAAGAGGAACACAATTAGGACAATGCTTCAGACCACTTTCATAGGTTTCTTTTGCCTGTTCAACATGACCAAGCCTGTCCTCCATCTGTCCAAGCATCAACCACAACTTGAAAAATGAGGGGAACAACTTGATTCCTTCCTCCAGCAACCGTCTCTCCTCTAAAGTGTTCCCGAGTTCTCTTTCAACGATAGCAGACTTCATCCAAACCCTCTCCGTGCCCCCTCTCTCCCTGGCTTTAGCCAAAAGCATTCGTGCTCTCTCAGGCTCATTGTTCTCAAATTCAAGCTTAAATGCAGCCAACCATATCTCCTCAGAATTTGGAATCGAAGCATATGCTTCCTGGAGAATTGCTCTAGCTCCTGGGACATCTCCTGCAAGCCATTTTTCTTTTGCACCCATTAACCATAGTACCTCCGCTTGAGGCCTGTAAGTAACTGCTCTCCTAAGTAGGTTATCAAGAGATTCCCTAGTCCCGTGGCTCTTCTCCAGCTGAGCTGCCTTGAGCCAAATACTCTTCTTTGTCAGAAATACAGAGAGTGTCTGGACATAAATAGCTCGCGCTGTCTCAATGGAGCCCCTCTTTTTGCACTCTTCAGCATCAGCAACCCATGTCCTCTTCCTATCTTCTTCTTCCACACCAATTGCAATGGTATTGCTAATAATAGCCTGGCATGTAGCAACTGAGCCGGCTCTTTCTGCAGCTTCTGCCTCTTTCATCCAAGCCTCCCGATCAATCTCAACCCCTTCTCTTTGCAAAGCTCTTATACCTCTCTCAATGACCCTCTTAACAGAGCCAATATTACCATTGGCCTCCTCAAGCTTCGCTGCAGTTATCCAAATTGATGGCTCCTTTGAAAGCTTATCCCTTGCCCGATTGAGCACCTTCTTTGCTTGCTCATATGTTTCCAGCCTAGCAAGTGCCAACCACAGCTCCACGTGAAGCGGGCAGCATTCCACAGCCCTGTGGAGCAAGACCATAGCATCCTCCTCATTAGCCAATTCAACAACTGCCTTCCACAGCCTGACTGAATCTGGAATGTGCTCCAGCCCCTTTCTCAAGACACGACTTTTATTCAAAGCAGTTTTCTCCAAATCTGCAGCCTGTACCCACAATTTCACAGAATTTGGATTAGCTTTCACACCTTGGGCAATCACTGATTTAGCCTCTTCAGGGCTTACTAAGCCAGCTAGTCGACAAGCCTCCAACCAAACATCCTCATTCTTTGGGCACTCTTCACATCCTTTCTGAATTAACTGCCTTGCTACCTGTGTCTTTCCAGCTACCTCCTCCAGCCTTGCAGCTGCTATCCATCCAGGAGGATGCTTGGGATTTGTTTGAATAACTGATTTCAGCAACAACCTTGCCTTCTTGATGTCGGAAATCTCAGCATCACTAGTAATTTTCATGCTTTTGAGATCAGTCAAGTAGCCCTTTGGATCCACTACTGTCAAACCCGACACAGAATCAGACAATCTATCAAGCTTCAACGAAAGAACTGTACCTCTACCTTCTCCCACAGCTGTGAGATCTGTGACGGGTGTCTGTGACCAAGGCGTCTCAGTTCCTCCCACAGCACGGCTCTTAGGATCTAGGGCACTCACATGCTCCTTCTCCTGCCTAGCCTTTTCAAGGAGGGTATCCGGCACCGGCACAAAGCTCTCAAACCTCTTCTTTTTGTTTCTAAGAGAATAATCCCCGATTTCCGGAATGCTGTCCCATTCCTCGGGGGTCACATCAGCAAGCTTCCTCTTGAGATCCGCGAACTGCTCGGTGATCTTAGGGTTTGAGGCACGATACTTTTCAATCTCCTGCTTCAGCCGTGCCTCCCTCCTGTCCTTCCGCCTCGAATCCATCCGCTTGTCGATGCTCTCCCACACCGCATCCGCCTCTTTGTCATCCTCGTCGTACTCAGCTGAGGCAAAGAGACCGACATCATTACCCTCAAACTCATCAAACTTCTGATTCTCATCATAACCCTTCTCCTCCGCGTCATCTTCTTCCTCTTCCTCGCCTCCGGGGCCTTTTCCACGGCCGCGGCCGACGCCAGCGGGAGCAGCGCCAATCGCAGTGACCGAGCGATCCGGCAAATCTGGAGCAGCGCGTGCGGGACCAATATCCGAACGGGTGGTGAATCCGGTGGCGCCACGTCCGAGACCAGCGACATAATTCGGAGGGGGTTTTGAGTTGAGGAACTCATAGCGCGGAGGCCTCGCTTGAACGGAAGAGGACTGCATGCCTCCGAGCAGAGGGAAGTGGAGGGTTAGGGTGGAATTAGATAGAACGGATAGTTCGGCGAGCGTAGTTGTGGATTCATCCCCGGCGGCCGGGATTGGGACCAGACGACGGGAGGCGAGGAAGAAGCGCTGGAGATGAACGGGGACGCCGGTTCTGGACTCGACGGTGATCTTTAAGGAGCGGAGGGAGGTCGAGATCGGATTCAACTCGACGGCGAGAGTTCTGCAATCCAAAGTTCGGATGAACACCATGGCTTCCCTACGCGAGAGAACAGAGCCCTTCGTCGACAGCGTTTGGGATGCAAAATGAGATTGGGGTTCTGATGTCGTGCGGACACCGCATGCAGAGAGCGGTGTTCGATACTGGCCGTAGATTACCGATCACGGTGATCTACGGTCAGGATTATTTTCGTTTTTCTAAAAAAAAATAAAAAATTTTAGGTGGGGCCCACCGAAATACATCAGGACCGTAAATCATGTGATTTACGGTCCGGATCGGCGTCCGCACGCAAGCTAAGATGCAAAATGAGATTGGGGTTCTGATGGCTTCCCTACGCGAGAGATTTAAAAATCTAAATATGAAAGTTTAGATGATACATATGTAAAAATAAAAAAATTTGGGTGATATGATGTAAATTTTCATATCAAAATGATTCCCCACGGTTATGAAAAAATATTATCTCAGGAGTACTGATACATCAATACTCCAATGATGAGGTGTCACATGTTATTATGATAGGTCCATTGGATACGTGACATTATGATGAGACTATTCCATACGTGACACCTCCTCATTGGAGTACTGATGCATATTGGAGTACTGATGCATACTCCTGAGATAATATTTTTCATAACGGTGGGGGAACATTTTGCTATGGCAAGTTACATCATATCACCCAAAATTTTTTATTTTTACATATGTATCATCTAAACTTTCATACTTAGATTTTTTCACTATGATGTGATAAATTTATGGATAAAAATATATATAATTTTTTTTATATAAAGATTTCCTCCCAAAAAAAAACACAGAAAAAATAAATCTTTATATTAAACACCTACAAACATAAGAATACAAAAGGATTATACAGTGATTAACGTTGTATTGCGCAAAATATATATGATTGGACAGCATGAAATCACACATCTCAAACCTAATTTGAAGTCAGCCAAATTCTTCTTCATGAAGGGTTTAAAAAATGATATGTGACAACTTTGAGGGAGTCCTTTAGTCAACATGAATGTGACAACTTTGAGGGAGTCCTTGCATTTTTTGTGAGTTTCCAAGTGGTTCGAAGGCTAAAGGATGGAGGTGAGGCAAAATTAAGCCAAGGTGATCTAGCTTGAGGCAATTTGATTAGTTTGAAAATATTTAATGGAATGGGATATAATGCATATGGACTTGGTGGAAAGGCTCATAAATGTTAAGAAAACATGTGTAGGTTGGATTCAAGGTAGTTGATAAGAATCAAAGATGTTTAGTGGTGGAAGAACTAAACCTACATTAAGCCATTAACAAGAGCCTTAATTTAGATGACAGGTTTAATCTGGTCTTCGAAATATTTTCGCCTATATATAGCTTGAGAAAATGCTTAAAGATGATTCTATAAATAGGAAAAAAAAATATACTATGAAAGATTGACAAAGAGTTCAATAAATAGAAGAGAGACACATAGAACTTCAATAAAAAAAGAGCTAAAAAAATGTCAGCACTAGATTCTCAACTATGGAGATTTTGCATTCTAATATTTATCAAACATCTATTTTTTTTATTAATATAGAAATATTTGAACATTATAATCTTAACAATCATAATGATTGTTTCCGACATGTCTATTTTTTCATCTCGAAGCCTACTTTTGAGGTTTAATAATTTTGATTAATATGTAATTTGAAAGGTATTAAATCTATGTAGGCTTTAAACACTCTATTCTCTATTATGTTAACAATTATTTCTTGTTAATATAATTATTATTTTTATTTTTTTGCAAAATTGCTATTATTCAATGAAACCCTATCCTAAATTTGTGATTGCTAATAATTTGAAAAAAAATTTAGTTCATGTATGATGATGAATAATATATATATTTTGAAAGATAACTGATAGTGTGTCTTTATTTTTAAAAATTACTGACATTGAACCTTTATTTAAAAAGATTGTCGATAATATGCCTTTATTTTTACAACCGTTCAACAATTTAGTTCATGTATGATGATGAAATATATATATTTTGAAAGATAGCTGATAGTGTGTCTTTATTTTTAAAAATGACTGACATTGAACCTTTATTTAAAAAGATTTTCGATAATATGCCTTTATTTTTACAACCGTTCAACACCGTGCTTTATTTTAAAAAGCTAATGTTGCGCTTACTTTTTTTTTTGTATTTAATTGCATTAATTTGCTGTTAAATAATAAATTATTCTAATTTTATTAAATTTTTATTTATCATATGTTATTTTAATATTCATGTTAAAGATATTTGATTAAAAATTTTAATTATTTATATGATATCATGCTTTTTTTTTTTTGTAAAGGTTTAGTAAATGAATTGTTATTTTAGAAGTAAAGAATGAATGAAGGTTAATATTGATAATCTTTTGATTGACCCTAGATTCATCTTTCTATTTGAAGTTAAGATATTAATGATAGTGAAAAAGTACAAAGAACATATTTACTCAATCGATCGTATCAGCAAAAAAAAATCATAATTTTTCCCAAATAGTACTACTAATGGGTAACATTATACGAAGATTTAATTTAAAATGATTTGAGATTTATCCAACTTGATTAGAATATAACGTATAAAAACAACAGTATATTGTCTTTATTGAAACATATTTAAGCCTAAAATTTGGTTGTTATGTGATGAAGTAGGGATTTATTTGTTAGTGAAAGATTCAAAAATTAAAAAAAAAAAAGCTTCCGTTGATGATCATAATAATGTTTACAATATGGCATGACAAAAAAGTGAGAATCTAATAAAGCTTCAAGTATAGAGTATTTCTACAATGCGATGCAGTAAATATGAGAGGAATAAAAGAATATATGATCATGTTAATTGTAAATATTAATTGTGTTCAATTTCTTTTATGGCAAGGATTGTCATTTTGTGAGCATGTTGAATCATCTGAATCAACTGATAAAAAAAATATTTTGAGTTGTTTAGTTTTCTTGTGAATCATAATGAAGAATATTATCATGCACAACAATTGAAATTTTAGCTTATATCATGAAAGATATTGATCCTTCTTATTTCTTCATCATATTGGATGAGTCTTGTTATGTGTTAGTAAACAAACATTTGGTTATTATCGTGGGATACATTGATAAAAAATAACAAGTTATTAGAATAGTTTGTATATAAAAAATTTATCAGCACGAATCTCAAGAATATCCCACTGTTTGCGAATGAAGATGATGTGGCATCATGGGGTCTGCCAGGGACAATTCGATATCCCATGCCTAGCTGGTCGGCTCCCATAAAATTGGAGGAAAGCATTTCCTAAACGGATGGAATACGACCACCTTTCTAAAAATCATCGACATAAGACTCACACGGGTAAATCTAGCCCCCTTTTTCTAGTTTGCAGAAGAGTGAAGTGAATCACCTGGCCGTGAAACAATTGGTTGGAGCTTTTTGCCCGACTTGTGCAAGTATAAACTCTCAACAAATAGTCAAGTGAACAATTTACACCAGGTCCCCAACGAACGACTGCCCGACCAAAATGAAGCCATATAGGAGGTTTTCATGGGCACCCAACTCTATATGGTCGGGTGTCTTCTTAGGGACTCGACCTAGTCCCACTGGGAGCCTTTCATGGTCCCAGCCTCGTCCGGGTGGGAGCCTTCAAAATTCTCGACCCAATTTTTCTGTATTGATTAAGATACCCCTGTCATATCAACATACATTAGGGATACAAAATGTAATTTTATATTACCAAGTTTCTATAAAAAGTGGTTCATGTCATGAATAAAGGTTATGCGAATTTAATGTTCTATATTGCGCTTTCTCACTCCTTACTCCCTCTGTGTCCCTCTCTCCCCCCTTAGTGCTACATTCCTTAGGGGAGTCCTCCGACAATTTTGGATTCAATAAACTTATTGAAAACATACTTCTTCAACAACTTCAATTGCATTTTAAAAAGTTTAATTCATATTTGCAAAGCATTCAATAAGCTTACATAAAATACTTGGTCAAAGTTATGAGGAGACATTCACTATACAAGTTAAATTCAATGGTTTGAATGCACACATTTTTTATGATAACCCTCAAGCATTTTATGTTTACTCCTTCACTTATTAGCCTTAGTTATGTTTGGTGACAGTAGCAAAAAATAATTGTCAAGTAAATTATTTTTTTTGAGTTTACTTCAAGAATTTTAAAGACAATTGGAGCTTCTTATAAGAGGTGTGATACTCTTAAAATCATTCAACATGAGAAAATTCTTCTGCAAACAAATCATAGCTTTTTGACAACCACCACACTTAGCTAGTTCATGTTGTAAAACCCAAATTTTCCGCCACCACTCCCCCTAACACGTTTTTAAATCGTAGGTGTGTTCTGAATCAAGAAACGACTTTGTAACGAGCTGGTGCATCCATTAAAGCTCATTTAGTTCATGTTGTAAAACCCAAATTTTCCACCACCGCTCCCCCTAACACATTCTTAAATCGTAGGTGTGTTTTGAATCAAGAAACAACTTTGTAACGAGCTGGTGCATCCATTAAAGCTCATATTTTATACATTAATTAGTCTCCAAAAAAACATATGCAATAGAATGTTTTGATTTTGTCTTCACAATACATTTAATGATTAATATTTTAGAGCTTACAAATGAATTATCACAATCTTTATAAAAAAAAATCAAGACATTGAAAACGTAATAAAATATGTACAAGCATAAGAAATACCAATTACAAATGATGAGAGATAATCTATGAGATTCTTTATTGGGAAATATATATACTTTTTGCAATGTTTTTGAAATTTAGGTTCCAAATATGAACTCTATCTTTAAGGATTGTCGACGAGCAATACAGAGTAGTGTAGAAATTACAAGCTTATTTCATTATCAAGTTGTGTTTTTCTACAATGTAATTAACATGCAACTTCAAGGGTTGGATAACTGTTTATTTGAAGCATGCAATGAATTACTTTTGTGTAACTTGTTTAAATCCAAATGCTTCATTTTTGGTTTTTTATCATTATAAATTTTCAGGAACTAAGCTTGTAGTTCTTGATTATTAACTATCTACTTATATCAACACGCACACGAGTGATGATTTCTCATCTTTAAACAAATAACTGACGTTGCAAAATAGCTTGTTAGAGCTAAGAAGAATTGAATGTATCCTCTAATTTACAACTTATTACTTTGACATTAACTTTATTAGTACTATAGTTTAGATAGCATTTTCTACAATGAAGATTATCAAACATTAACTGTATAGTCAAATTGGTGAGGATGACTCAATCACTAGCTTATACCATACATTAAGAAGAAACTATTTGACTTGATTTGTAATAAACATATTATGTAATATCATCAACCAATACAAATTAGATTGAAAATTTTGAAATAGTTGCCCAATTCAAAAGCAAGAGAATGAACCGTGAAGGCTCCCACAGCAGCTGAAAAGTTCGAAGCCGATCAGGGAAGCGGAAGGAATTGGAGAGATGTCATCCTCTTTCGATGCCGATGAGATCTCTAGGGTATCTACCAGACCCTTCGGAGACGACAGCTATCTGGGGTTCGATCCCAACATCTCCTCCCAGAGCTACGGTTCCTACTCGGCCTTACGCTGCCGAGGAGTACGGCAAGGACCCAATTCAAATCTCAGCCGATGGGGTCACCTCCTCCGCCTTCCCTGCCGGCGTTGGCTTTAGTTGGTTTTATCCATGATGACAACGTCCCTCCCTCACCAGAGGGATACGGCTATCTCTCCGATCAGCATCCGAGATTCAATTCGTCTGTTTCGCATTTCTCGATGCCGGAATCCAATGGAGGTGTTTATGGAGAGGGGATGAACGGCGGGGTATTTATGTCCGATGGTCCGATCCTCCCTCCTCCCGGCGAGATGCAGCCTGATGAAGGTTTTTTCCTGCGCGAATGGCGTCGGTGAGATTCGTTGACCTTGATCTATTTTCCTTGAATTCGAATGATATGTTTTGATGATTTTACTCGTGATACTTTATGACCTGCGAATTAGTGTTTGACATATCTTTGATAATGGTTAGATTTGTGCCTTTCGGCATGTCTTTGTGGGGTGAATTCCTCACGTAATTGATTCAGTTGTGGTATTTTCCTGTTTGGATCAGTTGGCAATGGACTCGTTAGCTGATCCTTCGTTTTAATCTTTGATTCTCTTTGATTTGTGGAGTGATATTTCCAGAACATGGCATATCTGTCCCAAAAACTTTATTTTTCCCTTTTCTTATTCGACATATTTGTGGATCTTTAGCCCATCTATGATACAGAATGTATGTTTCGTTTGCCTTCCTTCCACGGTTTTTCAGCAAAAAGATGATAATGCAGTTCAAAGAGGGTTAAAAGTTGGAAAGATTGGACCGACCTTTACCTGTTCATATTCATCACATGGAATTTGCAACTCGGCTATATGAGAAAGGGGTTGTTTTACGCTTGGTGCTTGAATTTCTTGGCGAATTCTATATAAATAACCTTGCTTGAGTCCATTTCTTAAGATGGTTTAAGTTTTATTTCAATTTGTACGTATGTAAAGGACAGTTCGTTTGCATGCTATTAGAGGCCATGTATCTAATACTGCAATAATATGAAATCCTGTAAAATTTATCCTCATAGAGTGTTTGGTTGGATGCAAAAATAGTGGCTCCCTTTGTAAGTATGGCTTCCTACCTAATTTAAGTGAGTGGGGGTTTGAGTGTTTTGTTTTACACTGCAACTTTTTGTTGATCATTTTCTTACCCATGGAACACCAGGAGTTCTGTTTTGTTGCATTTCTTTTGCCGTTTAACCTTTTGCCTCCATCCAAGCTATGCATAGGTCATTAGAATTATGATAGGTTTCTTCTTCAGCCACTGATAACCAGAAAAAACTCCCAATCATGCAGAGAGGTTTCATCACCAAAGTTTGCAGCGCAAGTTGATTGGAAGCTTTTTTATACAATTGCTTTTGCATACAATTCTACAAGAGAAAGAAACTAGAGAGTGTGAAGTCTGACATAATCCATCCTTGAAGATGCAGCAAAAATTGCTACTACTGGAGTATTTCTGCCTTCCCATATCAATCCCGAATGGCCTGTTGTTTTTGCATGAGGATCCAAGGCTTTGATGTTGCAGTAAGCATCTATGGTCATGCATATCACCAAACTACAGCCAATGAACTGTAAATCAATGATCCATCATCTTTATTTACTTAAATTCGGTGTTCAGGAAAAAGTAAATCAAATAAATGATGAAAAAAATAAAAAGTAATATAGAGTAGATTGGGATGGTTTGTATCCAAGTAAACACAAAATACACCATGTAGGATACTTTGGATTTCTTATTGCTTAAGATTGAAATAGGTTTCCTACTTTTACAACGCACATTCCATTATCCTTTCTATGTGCTTCAAATTTGTTAAACCTGGTTGACCTACATTTGAGCAAATAAAGTCATTTGACTTGTTAATAATCATCAGTGAATAAGATAAGTAGGGAAGTTCTAGGTGAGTATATATGCACTTAGGACCTACAAAGTGGAATACTTCAGTTAGAAGAGATCGGAAACGGGTTGTATGAGAAGGTAAATACACATGATTGCTCTTATCCAACTCGCAGGAAAGACAATCAAGCTTGGATATAAGTGAGGAAATAGAAACAAAATGTTGAAGTATTTTGGGAGCAGGATGACCTATCAACGATGCCATTGAAACGGATTAATGAAGAACCTCCATTAATCATCTTCCTCAACTTGAAATTTATAAAAATATAATGAGAAATAAAATGTTACATCAGTTGCAGGTTTTTACAAGACATACTTTGACAGAAAATTATTGGACGTCTAAAACATCTTATAGAGATAATTATTTAGAATAATTTATAATGATCTTTGTAAAGATAGAAGAGAGGAAACTATCAAGAATAATGTGGTAAATGTCATGTTAAGAGATGAAAGTAGTTGCCTCTTAATTTTTTATACAAGTAATTGAATTTACTGCACATGACATATCAGTAGAAACAACAACAAGGCAAATGTCAAAATGAAGAAACAATGTAAGATGCTGAGAGAGATGTTAAGATTATTATAGTAATCAATTATAGTCTTCCAGAGAGTAATAGATTCAGAGGAAGAAACACCAAAAGTAGGTAGGGTTAGATCCATTGTTGGAGCTAGAAATTGTTCTTAACAATGGAACTAATTGAAAATTTCAAAAACACATTCATCATTTTTTTTCCAGTCTTGGATCTAACATTGACTATTTAATTTTTTATGCAGTTCTAAAAATTTAGAAAATTTACAAATAACAAGTCTTTATATTTTCAAATTATTAATCACTTTATCAGCAATATTATTAAATATGTACTTTTTAATATATGTAGTTAGATAATCATTCACTTAAGAGTCTCTCCTATGATTGCGCAAATGACTCTTTATAATCTTTATAACAGAGAATGCTCATTAAACTGTTATTATTGCAATTAGTAAAATCAAAACAAGCTTCTCAAATAAATACATTATAGGGTAATTGAGATTTTTCCTAGTTTTCATTATTTTTGTGCGCTTTTCAACCCCTTTCAACTTAAAAAATATATCAATAGATTGCATGTCAATGATAAAATTCTCAAGTTGAGTGTCCAGGACAATTAATTTTATCTTTGAGAAATCCAAAGGATTAAATTTTGTGAGATGTATCAATAATTTTTTATTAAAACTTGAAATCGAATCACAAGTATTCAAGTATGTTACATGCAACTACTCAGTATTTAATTTATTAAATTTCTTATTAAGCCATTGAAGTTGCATGCTTGTGACGATAAAATAAATAATCCTAGGATGATGTTGATTTGTGTTTCTTTGAGCATGCTGTCTTGACCACCCACACATCACAAATATCATGGTCATGTCTGGAGCAACTATTTTATTTTTCTCATAGAATGATTAAGCTAATTCCACTAAAGTGCTCCATCTATTCTCCCTCACATTTTGAAGCTCTTGCTTAGCAACTTTAAACAGTGATTCCATTTATGATCATTGATCTATCTTCTATAGACTTAAGATACCTCAATTTGTGATCCCAAATATTGACTTCATCATGTGTAAACAAAAAAATAGTTCAAAATATTATGTGGAATGTAGCAAATTATTCGCTTCTCCTCTTTGTTCGCAGCTTGAATCATCATGAACTATCAGATGTAGAACTTTTATAACAAATTTAATCAAATAAATGGATTAAAAACTGTTATGTAGTTTGAACTCCAAGGTTTATCTCTCTAGCTTTTTGAAGAATAATTTCTGAATTGTACCTTGTAGTAGTTGCTAAAGAATTAACTGGTCTGAAAAACTTATTGATTTCATTAATGGCCTTTGGGCTATACAGAGTCTTACAACATTTACAAATAAATCCCAAGACTTCTTCTATTTACAACTAGGACTCTATATTCGATATAAATCTCAACACCCCCGTTTATGATGGGCAAAAAATATCCACTAAGCATATCTTGTCACATAATCTAGACAAATCTAATGAGGTAAATCCTTTGGTGAGGTAGTCAGCCACTTGCTCTCCAGTGGCTACATAAATTAGCTCTAGTAGTTCGCTATTCAGCTTTTCCTTAATGAATAACCTATCAATCTTTACATGTTTGGTTCAATCACGTTGCACTTGGTCGTTGGCGATGTTGATTGCTGATTTGTTGTCATATCACAACTTCATTTGAGCTCCCTGGTCCACTCTACCAACAAGGCTCTCAATCACATCATCTCATCAACTCCTAAGACCATGTCCCTATACTCTGTCTTTGTTGTTCAACTCGCTACTATTAGCTGTTTCTTGCTCTTCCAAGTGACCAAGTTGTCCCCTACAAACATGAAGTATCCAGATTTGGATCTCATATTATCCATTGAACTTTCCCAATTAGGTTACAATAGCCCTCAATGCTTATATGTTCACTCTTCTTGAAGATCAATATCTCCCCTAGTGCACTCTTCAGGTATCTCAGAATCTAATATACTCCATTCATGTGACCCTTCCTCGGATCATGCATATAGCGGTTACCACATTTACTGCAAATGATGTGTCAGGACGAATGTGACTCAGATATATGAGACGACATACCAACCTCTGATACCTCTCGTAATCAACTTGCTCTCCTGCCTCTGCGCTCAACTTTATATTTTGATCAATTGGTGAAATTGTGGGCTTGCATCATAACATGTTTGTCTCTGTGAGCAAGTCTAATACATACTTTCTCTGAGATAGAACAATCCCTTCTGCTCCATGAGCCACCTCAATTCCAAAGAAGTTTTTGAGCTGTCTTAGGTCCTTCACTTCAAACTCATTGCCCAAACTTGCCTTCAGCTGAGCAACTCTCTTTCATCATCCTCAATGACAATCAAGAATAGCAATGTGACCACCATATCATTGAAAAAATACTGTGTGATTGACATTGATATGCTGATAGCCCATGCCTACCATTGATTTTCTGAGTCTGTCAAATCAAGCTTGAGGAGACTGTTTCAAACCATACGGTGACATTTTCAGTCTACATACATTGCCCACCGTTTGGTTCGTGTTGAAGCCTGAGAGTATCTCCATGTACACTTCCTCTAGCAGATCATTTTGAAGAAACACATTCTTTACATCCAGTTGATGTAACATTCATTCACCATTTATAACTAAAACGACGAGTGTCCTGACTGTGCTCATCTTTGGCTTTGGTGTAAATGTCTCATCATGTCTTACTTTTGACTATATCATTTCGCCACCAACCGTTCTTTGTAGCGATCAATCTTTTCTTCTGGGGTCTGCTTCACTGTGAAGTCTCATTTGCACTTGACTGTCTTTTTCCCTGCTGGTAGTAATGCGAGATCCCATTATGTTCTTATCGAGAGTACCACCTCCATCATTGCAGCCTTCTACTTTGGGTCTTCTTTAGC